ATGCGACTGCTTTGCCGAAATCGGTACTTAAGAAAGATTCTTTTTGTGCGTTTTATCAATAAGATTCGTTTAATATTCGCTGCTCACTCTGTCTCTCTGTCTATTTTTCTTTCTTTATACCCCTCTCTCTCTCTCTTTTTCGTTTCACGCTGTCTCTTACGACATCTATTATCGCTGACTTTCTCATCTGTTATCTGTCTCTCGCTTAATATTCACCATCTCTCTATCCTCCATATATATATATATATATATATATATATATATATATATATATATATATATACTCTCGTTTGTTTTTGCTTTTGGCGATTGCATAGTATAGTAGGGTCAGTTAGGCACCGTCTGTGAGAAAAAGAGCAACATGACGCAATTCACTTGAAATTTGGGAACGGCATGATGTACTGCTTGGCATTCGCGCCAGAAGCTTCAATACGAACATTTCAAAATGGGTGTCAATCTGAAGACAGTGCAGAGCATTCGGAGAGAGTTGGATGAGTTTAATTGTGATTACGAAGGTACGGCAGCTCGGAAATCTCACTTTGATCGTTCTGATAAGAAAAGGACTCCCGAATTTGTTGTTGAGTGCATCAGACTCAACATGGAGGCCTACGGCCATTACCTTGAGGAGGTAGTGCTGCCCTCGGTTCAAACTACGGTCCTTAGGTCCTATAAGAGAATTGTCTTTTACTGGTACTTTTCTCAGTATATGGGATGTTCCTAGTAGGGTGATTTTCTGGTCAACTTGTATGTTGATGTTACCTGGGACTCTTTTAATAAACTTGTTCATTCCTTTTCTCCCGAGGCCCAGTGCTCCGATTACCATTGGTACAATCTCAGTCTTCATTGCCCACAGCCTGTTTAATCTCCATCTCCAGGTCCTTGTATTTGAACAATCTTTCTATTATTATTATTATTATTATTATTATTATTATTATTATTTGTGTATGTTATGTTTCCTGCTTTGTATTCTGCAGAGCCATATCCAAACTACGGCCCTTAGACCCTTTAGTGGAATTGTCATGAGATTGTTATGAGATGTTCCCAGTAGGGCGATCTTTTGATCAACTTGTATGCTGATGTTACCTGGGACTCTTTTAGTAAACTTACCCATTCCTTTTCTCACGACTATAGTCCTTAGGCCCTATTATTATTATTATTATTATTATTATTATTATTATTATTATTATTATTATTACATAGCAGAATACTGTATATATAACATTTATGTTGGGTAATTGAATGAAAAAACAACAAAAGTGTGATTATTTTTAAACCGAAAAAACACAAGCGGTCTGAAGCCGAATGAAGTCTGTTCGATTCGGCATGTTGTCACATCGGTCGCCATAAATAAAAAATAAAAAATAAAAAAACTTAAATTTAATGTTAAGCGTCCTAGGCATCTACAACACTTCTCTCAATGTATAACTATGATCAAGATTTGTTGTATTTCGTTCCCTTTCGCAACATAAACACGCTTTTCTCAATAAAAACGTTATTTTGTCTGAAGAAGTCATTTCGATGGACAAAACTCGTAACATAGTATTTTCCCCCATTTTTGACATTCAATCACCCACTATATCGGAATCCGAACTATCGGTTACTCAACTGGAAACTCATAGCCACCGGATTACCGAACAATTATATTACGGATGTCATAATGAAAAACTACCAAAACATAATTACTTGGATTAGAACAAAACTTATATCCAGATTCTAATTCTAGAAACAATGGAAGAAAATCCAATGAGGCCAACACTCCCCACCCCTGCAAATAATATGAAAGCTCTGAAAGAAATATAAAATAACAAAAACATTGATAACTCTCGTTCCGAAAAACGAAATGGAAATATAATTATGGAAAAATATATTTATCAACAAAAAAAATGAAAATCCTTTTTGATAATATTTATTAAAAAATAAATGGCCACAATGTCATAAAAGACACACAAATTTAATAACGGAATAAAGAAATTATTAAAAATAATGAAAACATTTCTTGGTTAGAACTCATTGACTATCGCCCGAAAACACCAACACTCTACACATTATCAACACCCATGATAGTTTTTCATTATGAAATCCTATAATAGTTTTTCATTATGAAATACTCTACAAATTATCAATACCTATACTCTAGACATTATCAACACCCATACTCTACACATTATCAACACCCACACTCTACAAATTATCATCACCCACACACTACACATTATCAACACCCACACCCTACACATTAACAACACCCATACTCTAGACATTATCAATACCCATACTCTACACATTATCAACACCCACACCCTACACATTATCAACACACATATTCTAGACATTATCAACACCCATACTCTACACATTATCAATACCTATACTCTACACATTATCAATACCTATACTCTGCACATTATCAACATCCATACTCTACACATTATCAACACCCACACTCTACACAATATCAACACACATACTCTAGACATTATCAATACCTATACTCTACACATTATCAACACCCACACTCTACATATTATCAACATCCATACTCTACACATTATCAACAGCCATACTCTACACATTATCAATACCTATACTCTACACATTATCAACACCCACACACTACACATTATCAGCACCTACACTCTACACATTATCAACACCCATACTCTACACATTGTCAACAATATATAAACTAGATACCCCGATGAGACCCATTGTATCACGAACAGGTAGCACCCCACATAAACTAGCCGGATCTCTAGCGAAAATTTTAACCCCACTTCATGATACAATTAGTTCTTTGCATACAAAAAAAACTTTGGGGATGTTTTAAATAAATAAATAAATAAACTAGACATCAAAAAACAAATATCTGCTGAAAGTAGACATAATCTTCATTTTGGAATACAGCTGAGAAATGGAAATTGTGTTCATAATTGATTCTATTAATGGTTCGTTTGTTGTCTTTTAATAATAAGGGCTATTTGCATTCGGAAAGAGAAAGACAACACTGAATTCAAAAATCAGATCCTCCAGTTTGGGGGTTGGGCAGTTCACTAATAACCTGCTGGCTTGTTATAGAAACCGCAAAGATATCTTGTGGCCCTATGTTCCTCAAAGGATTTTAAAAGATATAATATATAGATTTTAAAGGCATTATATATATATATATATATATATATATATATATATATATATATATATATATATATATATATATATATATATAAAACTCAAAACACTAACATTCCTTGGTTAAAATTTATTACATTGGAATCGTAATCACGATCCAAATCATCAGACCTACAAATTCAAAAAGAATTATTTTTCCGATTCCTTTTTGAATTTTTAGGTCTGATGAATTGGATTGTGATTACGATTCCAATGTAATAAATTATAACCAAGGAATATTAGTGTTTAAGTCTTTTATATTATATTCTTACTCTGTTCTGGACATTGAGTTCTACCTGGAGTCTATCCGCTTGGGAATTTATATATATATATCTATATATCTATATAAATATATATAGATATAGATATATAGATATATATATATATATATATATATATGTATATTGACCACTAATATTATCTATTTATTATATATATATATATATATATATATATATATATATATATATATATATATATATATATATATATATATATATATATATATATATATATATATATAAGACAATTTTGATTTAAAGAATGCCACGCTTATTAAAAAGAGAAAGTAACCTACTTAGAAGGAAAATTCTTGGAGCGCCGCTGTCAAATGCTATCAAAATATAAATTTGCAAACCAGATTTTTTTTTCTTCTAAAATCTCCATTCCTGGAAGAATTACTTCTTTCCCAAGCCCCCAAAATATCTATAAAAATATTAAAAACTTTACGAAAAACGGTTAAATTCATAAACTCCTATCATTTCAAATATAAGAGGAAATCCCAAGCTAAAAAAGTTAAATATTAATTACATAAAAAATTCAAAAACATCATTTATTCACTTCCGTTTATTAAACATTAAATGACGTCACTTAACATCCTCCATAATTTAATATATACGAATGTTTAGGGAATGAAAATAATATAAATTCTAACGTTCACAGCATTAATCCAAAAGAAGGGCTTAATACCAAAAGTAGAACAATAATTATTTATTGTAATTTTTACATATGAACAAAAATAACTTGCTCCCTACAAAGATTCTTTTTTCTTATTATTAACCCAAGATTAAAATCTGGGAGAGAGGTTCACTATTTACATTATTCGGACTATTGCCCTCATCTCAGTCGCCATATTTATTCCAATGTTTCGGCCGTTGTACGCTCCGGCCTTCTTCAGGCGATTGCAATGTCGAATTGAACTCTTTATTTCGCTCACTGGGGTAGACTGTTCCAGTTCCATGTGCCATGTCTAATGGATGTCAGTTATCAGTTATCTTCTGTTAATTCACCTCTCCAAGTTTTCCACCGCCTTAACCGGGTATTGGGCCCAAAGACACACAAAATGCGCGCGCATACACACACAAACATATATATATATATATATATTATTTTATATGTGCAGTACTTAGTGGAAAGGCGCTCAATATCAGTGATAGAGCTAATATATTCAGTTGTATGGGCCCCGGGTTTCACGGTTTTGTGATCATCATACAGACTCGTTTATCTTTTTAAATTGGATCTATTTATGCTTGTTTGGCTATGTTTAATGTCGAGAGGGTGAATCTACTTCTGTGTTTGTTTGGAGTGACTCTCTCATACGCACAGACACGCATACATACAGGTGTACTCTTTTTAATTCACACAAACACACTAGTAGTGGAAAGTTTTATCTTGAGTCCTATTTCTTAAAACACTTAATATAGGAAGTTCATTTTGCGATATATATATATATATATATATATATATATATATATAGAGTTCTAGATATTCTAGTTCATAGTTTCTGTTTTGGAAATTTATCGCTCTTTCCATTATTGATGGTAGTTTCCTTCCTAACCTTTTGTTAGAAGTGGTGTGGAATGTGAACATCTTGATTATGTCGTTATTTTCTCTTCAACTTCTATGTGATATCCATTTCAGTTGTTGATGCTATTGAATGTTCTCAGCTGATGTCGTTTCTGTTATTTGGCACGGTTCTTTGTGATTGTGTAGCGCCAGTCCACAATATTCGAAGAAAGATGGTCTTCACCAAGAACCACAAGCTTCACTCGCTCAAAGCCATTTTTAACCAGTGATCCGATAAAGCGGTTGTATATAGCTGAGAGTTTAAATATTTCTGAACGGATCTGACGCCAGGCGTCTATATAAAAGTATATAAAGTAATTAAACCCTAGAACACTAACCATCAATTAAAGTTACACCACTACTAACCATGGGTATATCATACCCGATTATGAAAATATCCAAAAAAATATTAAATATAAATCTTTATTTGAAATATTTTACATGCAGGCACTTCAAACTTTGTTCTTTGAGTTAACATTAATAGGAACTGAAAAACATTATTTAGGTAAGAAAATCAGGTACTGAAAATTGTAATTAAAAATAGGAAAATTTGTGATGGGTACTATATACCCATGGTTAGTGTTCTAGAATTAAATAACCTGAAAAAGCTTGGTAAATTGTAAAAAATGAAATATTTTACATTCAGGCACTTCAAACTTTGTACTTCGAGTTAACATTAATAGCAACTGAAAAACATTATTTAGGTAAGAAAATCAAGTACTGAAAATTGTAATTAAAAATAGGAAAATTTGCGCTGGGTACTATATACCCATGGTAAGTTTTCTAGGTTTAAGAACATGTTTTGGTTTTGTAGCACTTTGCGGTATTGTGTGAAACTATCTCTGGCTAGTTCAGTTTTTTTTTTTCATATACTAAATGTATTATTACGTATCCATACACCGAGGTACTTGAATTGTTTAGTACTTACTAACGACAATATGTACATCAAAATAAAGAAACCACAAACAACATCTCTTTGTTCATATTGCTTTTGTTGTTAAATTCCTTTTTTTTTTCTTTTTATCATTATAAACTTCCAACAGATTTTTTTTTAAATTTTATTTTTATTTTTACTTGCTTGTCTTTTATTTTCCCACACTTCGATTTCATTCATTTGTCCTTTTTTTTCCCTTCCTCGTCACACCCTCTACTTTTTCCCCAATTCGCTTTGTCCGCAGCCTTATCACCTCCGCTACGGAAAAAAAAGAAATATATTCCCTTACCCAGAACTCCTCTGGTCTGCGTCTCCAGCACGTGCAAACTAACAGAGTTCGGACGACGGCGATAGAAAGTCAATGACAAGGCGATGCACGCCTCACCTTTCTAACCCTTTACTCCAGAGAGATGTGGAAAGGAGTCTGGATTGACACAAACGGTTGTGGCAGAGGGATATTTCGAGCTGCAGGGAGCGGGGTTGAAGGTATGTTGATGGGGTTGGTGTGGGTATGTGGATTTTGGGGTTACGTTGTCGGTCGGAAGCGTTGATACTGCGACACAATTGGCTCTGATTTTCTTGGGACTCGTACAGGGCGTGCGTTCAAGGGACCAGACACACACCAGCATTACGTACACACGGTGGATGCATTCAGTTAAACATGCGTAGACACGGAAATACATTCGCCCATACACCCGCATAGAGCATCAAGTCCACACCATTATCTATCTATCTCAGTCTCCTCAATATCTATCTATCTATCTATCTATCTATCTATCTATCTATCTATCTATCTATCTATCTATCTGAGTCTGTTCAATATCTGTCTATCTATCCATCTATCTATCTCTGTCTGCTCAATATCTATCTATCTATCTATCTATCTATCTATCTATCTATCTATCTATCTATCTATCTATCTATCTATCTTCAGTCTGCTCAATATCTATTAATCTATCTATCTATTTATCTATCTGAGTCTGCTCAATATCTATCTATCTATCTATCTATCTCAGTCTGCTCAATATCTATCTATCTATCTATCTATCTATCTATCTATCTATCTATCTCAGTCTGCTCAATATCTATCTATCTATCTATCTATCTATCTATCTATCTATCTCAGTCTGCTTAATATCTATCTATCTATCTCAGTCTGCTCAATATTCATCTATCTATCTATCTATCTATCTGAGTCTGTTCAATATCTGTCTATTCATCCATCTATCTATCTCTGTCTGCTCAATATTTATCTATCTATCTATCTATCTATCTATCTATCTATCTATCTATCTATCTCAGTCTGCTCAATATCTATTAATCTAGCTATCTATTTATCTATCTGAGTCTGCTCAAATATCTATCTATCTATCTATTCATCTATCTATCTATCTATCTATCTATCTATCTCAGTCTGCTCAATATCTATCTATCTATCTATCTATCTATCTATCTATCTATCTCCCTTTTTCTGTTTCCCTTTCTCTCACCTGCCCTTTCTCTTTCTATTCACCGTTCCTTTCACTTTATTTATCTCTTACCCTTTTGCGCTCGTTTTCTATCTTCGCTTTGTTCACATTTCTCTCTCTCCCTCTCCCTCTCCCTCTATCGATTTTTCGCTTTCATCTTCTCTCTCTCTCTCTCTCTCTCTCTCTCTCTCTTTCATTTTCTCTCTCTGTTCATTTAATTTTTCAATCTTCCTTTCCTTTCTTTTTCACTGTCCCTCCCTCCCTCCCTATCTCTCTCACGCCTTCCCTTTCACTTTCAAACTTTCTCCCTTTTTCTCTTTCAATCTATATTTCTCACTCTACCACGCACATACATTTCTCACACACACACACGAAAACAGAGAGAGAGAGGGAGAGAGAGGGTATGTGTGTGTGACAGAGACAGAGAGAGAGAGAGAGAGAGTGAGAAAGAGAAATTAGCCAAAAGATTAAAATAATACACTAATATATTACAAGAATGGCTTATCGAAATCGCTTTTCCAAATCTTGCTCTGTTACTCACTGCTTGCAATTTATCGCTCTACGTCATGCGACCATACATGTCTTCTCCCCCCCCCATCTTAAATGGGCAACTGACAACGATACTTACTAAGAAATCTCCTTTCCTAACTGTTGCTCTACGGCAGGTTTCCTAATCTTAGCTCAGTTTGGCACAACGCCACACAAATTGAGTAACTAATCTGGCGCAAGGAAAGTTGGTTCTCTGTGTCGCGCTAGAAGGTTTTTCCCGCCTGTGTCCATCCTTCAAATCTACAAATCAACCATCCGTCCTTGCTGCCATATATGGTCTGGTGCCCCCACGGTTCATCTCGAGATCCTCGACAAAACCCAGAGACGGATATGCAATGTGATAGGTCCTGATCTGGCATTTCGTCTACAGTCACTTTCTTACAGACATGCTGTGGCTTCCCTCTGTCTTTTCTACAAATATTTCCATGGTAACTGCTCTGACGAAGTTCTTTCACTGGTACCCCAACTGCATGAATTTAAGCGTGCTACCAGGTTGTCATCTCGATCCCACTCTTTCACTCTCGAAACAGTCAAATGTAACCGCCTCTTCTACTCCAACAGCTTCTTATCTCGCACCTCCCATCAGTGGAACTCCCTTCTTATCTCTTGCTTCCCTGATAACTATAATCTTCAGATATTCAAATGTAATGTCAATCGACATCTTCCGATGCCTTTACCTTGATCCCTGTGCTTCTCTTTATCCTTTTCCGCAAACACCCCCCCCCTTTACTCTTGATCTCACTCTCTGTAACCCTCTGCGTGCTAGTGGCTCTCCCGCCTTGCATGGGGTGATTTGCTTAAAAAAATAAGAATTATAATTGTGCAGTTAGCTGATTCTATACAGAAAATATTCATAGAAGGAATGGTTAATGTTACTGCTTTCTTAATATATGATTTATTGATAGATCGATTGATTCGTGGATTGATTGATTGATTTATTGTCTTATTGATTTATCGATTGATTGATTTATTGATTTATTCGATTATTGATTTATTTATTAAATGATTGATATATGGATTTATTAATTGATTTATGGATTTATTTATTGATTGATTGATTTATGGATTTATTGATTGATTTATGGATTTATTTATTGATTGATTGATTGACTGATTGATTAATTGATTGATTCATGGATTAATCGATTGATTCATGGACTGATTGATTTATTGATTGATTTATGGATTTATTTATTGATTGATTGATTCATTGATTAAGTGATTGATTCATGGACTGATTGATTTATTGATTGATTTATGGACTTATTTACTGATTGATTGATTCATGGACTGATTGATTTATTGATTGATTCATTCATTTTCTCCGTGTTATCAACTATTTGCAGAAAAAATTTAGATTGTAAGAAATTTTTGTGAGGTGGGGGGGAAATAATAATGGTTTAGTGACATTTTTTGCTCACATTTTCAATGCGTGTATTCTCAGCATCCTTCTGTAGAACCAGATTTCTGTCCCTTAAAATCTCTTCTTTATCTATAAGGAGATTGTTCAGCATTCACTGCCATGATATTACGTAACAGTTCAGTAATCTTTTCACACGAAATTTTCCCATTTCTTAATACTTTGCTTAGTTTCTGGAAGGCATCTATACATGTTAATTCTCCTAAATTTTTTTCCGCCATCCATTTGCTAAAACCCTCGTTTATGCGCGGTTTACCTCTGCATCTTTACTTTATAATTCTATTTTATCCGTTGGTATATAATCCAGGTATAATCCTGGTTTATATACCAACGGATCTATAACCAGTACTATATATATATATATATATATATATATATATATATATATATATATATATATTATGAACTGGGAAAAGTCCCACAGTTATTTTAAGACATTTTTTTATGTTTATACATACTTTTATACATACAAATATTTAAGTAAATGCTTTATAATAAACAGTATTAAACAACATTTACCGGCTTGAATGTCCGAGAAATTTTCATAGAAAATATTCGTCTTCCGACAGGAATCGAACCTGTATCGCATACGGAACCATTATATAGCCTGACGTGCCTTTAACCGATTGGGCCACAGAGTACCTTGCTAAACGAACGATCTTTTTTTGTGGCCCAATCGGTTAAAGGCACGTCAGGCTATATGACAGTTCCATATAAGATACAGGTTCGATTCCTGTCGGAAGACGAATATTTTCTATGAAAATTTCTCGGACATTCAAGCCGGTAAATGTTGATTAATACTGTTTATTATAAACAGAGCATTTACTTAAATATTTGTATCTATAGAAAGAATGTATAAACATAAAAATACTTAATATATATATATCCGTTATCTCCTGTTAATTGCCCTCTGAAAGTTCTCCACTTAACTGGGTATTGAACTCACACTCTTTGGGTCCTGTCACTGGATCTAACCACCGCCTTTATCCACTGTGCCATGTGTCCTTGAGGACATCTGGGTATGAATTTCTGGGCATTATAAACCTAATGTCTTCAGCAACCATTTTTACCAGAGCTCATATTGCAACTTTGTTGTTATCATTGTTTTTCTCTGGCACTCCTTATTACTGGTTCCCATATTGTATTCATTTCTATGCTTGGTCAGCTCAGGAGATTTTTGTGGCCTAGCATATGTGCTGATTACTTAAGTTTACGAATTTTCCAATGGACCGCAGATCCTTTGTATTTTCTCTGATAACCCCTTCACATAAGACAGGCAGACTGTTTTCTGAGTGTTGTTGTCCTCCTCTTGTACCCGCCTATCCCAGTTTTTGGGGGATGCTGCCATGTACCCAGGGTAGTTGTTACGTTATAGGGTACTACTTATACTGACCAATTCTTTATCTAACGTCTCTGGGTCGCCACTTATGACTTTTGCCTGGTGTTGTAAGCAACGGACGATCCCTTTCTTTACGCTGTGTGGATGGCGGGGGTTGGAATTGAGGTACTGTCAGGTGAATGTCGGTTTACGGTATACGGATGTCTTAAACCCATGCTCTGTTCGAGATATTAGAACATCCAGGAATTGGAGTGTGTTGTTACTCACTTTCTCCATTGTGAACTGTATCGAAGGAATTATTCAGTTCACATGGTCCAGTAGAACCTGAACATCTTCCTGGTGTAGCCAGAGTATGAAGGTGTCATCTACGTACCTTAACCATATAGTTGGCTTTAGAGATATAGATTCTAATGTCATTTCCTCAAAGTATTCCATATATTCGCCATTGCTTGTGATAATGGCGAGCCCATTGCTAAGCCCTCATCCTGTCGATATATGTGTGATCCCATGCTGAAGTGTGTTGTTTGTGTACAGAAAGTCAACATCTCCATCAGATTATCTATTGGAATGCTGGTCCGCTCCTCTAGGGAAGACTCAGAGGTCAATCTGTCTCTGACTACTGAGAGTGCCTCCTCCGTGGGTACCTTGGTGAACAAACTCACCACGTCCAAGCTCACCATCTGGTTGGATAGGATGGAAGCATCTTTGATTATTTCCACGAAGTGGGAGGAGTTTCGGACATATGAAGGAGACTTTCCGATCAATGGGTCAATTATATCTACAAGGAAGCGACTCAGAGGGTGGCACACAGAGCCTTGGCAACTAACAATCGGCCTGAGCGGAATACCGTCTTTGTGAATCTTAGGGAGACCGTATATGTGAGGTAGCTTGGTGTAACGCTGCGATAACTGCCTATACGTCTTAGGTGCAAAGTGATCCTTGTTCTTGATTAGGATCTGCGACAGTTTGCGTTCTGTTTTCATAGTAGGATCCTTTTTCACTTTGCTATAGCTACCATTGCTAATGAGGTCTTCCAGTTTTCTTGTATAATCTGATTTGTCCATCATTACAGTCGCATTACCTTTGTCAGCCGGTAGTATGATGATGTTTTCGTTCCTCTGTAGGGATCCAATCGCCAGCCTCTCCAGTTTTGTTATGTTAGACCTGGACGGCTTGGCTCTCTCCAAGGTCTGTCTCACTTTCCATCTCAGTTCATCTGGGGGATGTTCAAGGCCACCTCCTCGACTCTGGTAATGATGTCCAAGTATGGCACTCGCCTGATGGTTGTGGCGAAGTTGAGACCCTTATTCAATACTGACTCCTCAGCGGCACTCGGCTGATATTGGCTGATGTTGACTACTGCTTTCACTGGTGGGTGATGGACCTTGTGCGTCACCTTCTGGTCTTTCAACTTATTTAATTTTTGTACTTGGCGAGCCTTGACTACATCAAATTCATGTCTGAAGGATTTATCCAGGTCATTTTGGATCCTTCTCTAGTCTTCTTCATTAGTAATTCTGTTAAAGAAATCCTCGAGCGTCTGGGATATATGAGCCTGTAGTCGATGTTTTATCCAACGATTGTACTGGATTCTCTCTCGGACAAGGGCGTGTCCTGCTTTCTCCGCGACCCGACGAGCTCTCCTTGAATTGACGGGAAGTCTTGGTGCCAAGCCTGAAGGGATGAGTTGTAGATCTCTTCATCGGTGTAGGAATGTCAGATGGTTCGATATTCGTGCCAGTTTCTGGTAGGATTTTTCAATTTGTCTCCATATTTTTGGTATATCGGGTCTGTACCGATCCTTCAGAGTCTGTCTATATTTCTGATATATATATATATATATATATATATATATATATATATATATATATATATATATATATGTGTGTGTGTGTGTGTGTGTGTGTGTGTGAACAGACGGAGATAGATAGATAGATAGATAGATAGATAGATAGATAGATAGATAGATAGATGTGTGTTTCTGTATGTATATAGTGGGCAAAATAAGTATTTCATCCCCTGCTGATTTTCTGAGTTTGCCACCTTGCAAAAATAGGAACGGTCTATAATTTTCAGGGTTGGTCCTTCTTGAAAGGGAAAGATAGAT